TTAAGATTTTATTGATTTATTTGACAGAGAGAGACACAGCGAGAGAGGGAACACAAGCAGGGGGAGTGGGAGAGGGAGAAGGAGAAGCAGGCCTCCCGCCGAACAGGGAGCCTGACGCGGGACTCGATCCCAGGACTCCGGGATCATGACCTGAGCCGAAGGCAGACGCCTAACCGACTGAGCCACCCAGGCGCCCTATAACCTTTTTTTTAAAAAAAGATTTTATTTATTTGAGAGAGAGCGAGAGCATGAACACAAGTGGGGGGAGGCAGAGAGAGAAGCAGACTCCCCACTGAGCAGGGAGCGTGATGCGATGTGGGACTCCATCCCAGGACCTGGAGATCATGACCTGAGCCGAAGGCAGAGCTTAACCGACTGAGCCACCCAGGCGCCCCTAACTATCACCTTTATAGACTACAGGCTCAGGGGAAAACACACTACTATCTCAATTGTTAAAAGCTTATTTTGGGTAGGAAATTTCCTCAGATGCATTAAACACTTCTGTGACTTACACAGGATATCAATCATCACTGCAAAAGTAATCTAATTTAGTCAGTTCTTGGTGAGTAGGGCCACGTTAGAAGAAACCTGAGTTATTCTTTTTTTTTTTTTTTAATATTTTATTTATTTATTTGACAGAGAGAGACACAGCAAGAGAGGGAACACAAGCAGGGGGAGTGGGAGAGGGAGAAGCAGGCTTCCCGCCAACCAGGGAGCCTGATGTGGGGCTCGATCCCAGGACCCCTAGGATCGTGACCTGAGCCAAAGGCAGACGCTTAACGATGGAGCCACCCAGGCGCCCCAACTTGAGTTATTCTTAATAATAATATAATTAATAATAATAAAATATTAATAACATTATTTTTAACAACAACAATAATAATGTTCTCAGAGTTGATCAAAGTATAAAGAAGGGCTCTTTGCCTCATATCAAGTGGTCCAAGACCTTTTCCTGTAAGAGTTAAAGTCCCAGAGCTGATTTGTGGTGTCTAATTTATTATGGGTTAGGATAACCTTATAACCTGGCTTCTTAGAATTATATGTAAAATAAAAGGATAAAAGCTCTGGGTGGGGCCAAGGGGCTGAGCTGTGATTGGAATCCAAGTGTCTAGGGCTAGTCTCAGTGGTCAGATATGTAAATCCCATTTAGATAAGGTGCTAAAGAGGGTTTGAATGTAGTCAGTATTACTGGCATCTACTGGCTGGTGTTAGCCATCTAGTGGCTTAAAACCTGATAGGAGGGACATGGCTAGTTGTCCACTGTAATAAAATACTTGATATTGGTGATTATAGAGGTAAAAGATTATGTTTTCCAAATTAGCAAGTGGTGATATGTTTTACATCTGGGAAGATGGATGAAACCTAGAACCCTTCAGCTCTGAATTCTTTAAAACAGGTACAGAATATATTGGTAGATTATCTAAGAAAAGAAAGTACAAGAATGTTCAGATAGGAACAAGGGAGAAGAGAGAAAGACTTTTCAGTAAAAGATAACTAAGGAGAGGCTTTATAACCTTTTCAGTAGGATCGTTCTTAGTGGGATTTAAGTAGGGGTTGGGGCTAACAAATATTACCTCGTCTTTCTCCTTCTAAATTTGAAATCAACTGAGAAATAGATTCCTTAATCAGTAGATTGAAATGTAAAAAAAGTCAGCCTTATTGGTGGGGTTGACTGGAGAATATTCCATAGATCTGTGGCCAAATGGGCTTACGACCATCCTCCTCCTCCTCCCCAGTTAAACTTATCAGGGCGCTAGACCTCTGGGACAACCCCTCATCGTTAACTCCCTTGTGTGATGGAGAGAAGTGCTGGCATCCTGCAGACTATGCCTAGTCTTCCTGGTGCCTCATCTCTCCATGAGTGCCCAGGAAGGGAGAGCCATGGCGATGAGTTTCTTTTGGTTGTTGAAGGGTTGGGGAATGAGAAACGTTATAGGGGAAGTCTCTCTATCCTCAGGGAAATAGGAGGCTGGGAAATAATGGCCCTCCACGACTAGTATGGTGGTGAGGTGCTATTCTCCCCCCTTTCCAGAAAATTGAATCGTGAGTTTAAATTGTTTCTTAGATCAAAAAGAGTCATAGATCTTTGTCCTTAAAAACTTGTGAAAGTTGGGGGAAATCCATCTGGTTTTGGGGCACCTGGGTGGCTCAGTCGTTAAGCGTCTGCCT